GATTCTTCCCCCAACAGCTTACTCCAAAGTGGAACAAACTAGTTATGTGATGGTTTGTTCCACTTTGGAGTAAGCTGTTGGGGGAAGAATCAGTTTTGTGTTGTGCGTTTCCTTGACTGATGAAGCCTTCTGGATGGAAGGTGAAACGTTTCAGCACAAAAAAAAAGAACTGTCCAGATGACCTGACTGGAAATTAATGGATTGTATACCTGGATTATTGAGCATGGACTTTGTTTGTAATTAAAGTAAATATGTGAAAAACAGATGGTTCAACGATACAATTGTTTTATAATAGTTTTTGGTGGGATCAAAAATAAACAGTTGAACAGAGGCGAACAGCTTGTTTAACACTTCAGAGGTTTTCAAATGCTTTTTTAAGCAAAGATTAGATCTGATTAGACAACACTCTCATAAGCACAGAAACATATTTAGTTAAAGAGACAAATCTGGGACATACGGTTTGGGGTTGTGCTGCCATCTTCATGGAGATAAGAAGCTTCCTCCTCCTCTAAGATTTCCTGCAACTGTTATTTCTTCTGCTGAGGTGCGTCATGGCTGCATCTGCCCCACTGTCCACTAGGCCTCAACCTCTGTACTGCAGCCCAGATGTTTTTCAACCACCTACAAACACACACGCACAAAGAAGAAAAAACATGGAATTATTTGCATTCAACATTTAAAGACATGTGAAATAGCAATATAGCTGACTATGAAAGGACTGTGACTGTGTGTGCATGTGCACACAAACATGTGATGCACATGTTGGATCAGCTGACTTTAATCCACCTTTTTAAGTAATAAAACCAGTTGCTATTTTGATTCAGGGTTTTTTGAACATCCCTATAGTTTTCAAGAGGGAGGTGGATGGTTGGTGGCATGACAGACTTGTGGATCCTAAAGTTAGAATAAAAACAACAATGTCTCTGGCACATGTGGATATTGATACCACAGAATCTTGTGCAGCTAACTATTCATTTCACAACACAACTCAACACTGGTGACACACTGTTGTTTCGTATCATGAACGTCTGTGTAGGTTGAAAACTACAGATCAAGCAAGTCTTAAGTACACTGCAAGATAAAAATAAAAAAAAGTTGAAATTTAAAAGGTTTCTTAGTAGGGGACTGCCTGAAGGCAGCCACCTATTATTATCTACCTGAAAAGGGTCTTGCTCTTCCTTCAACTTTAATGAACCATTATGTTTAACCCCACAAATATTATATCAAAATGACCGGCTCGGCACCGTGATGTGTGCTATAACTTTAATTGGCATTTCGTGTTACCATGGCGACGTAATTTGCAAACAAAGATGCCATTTTTCTCAAAAAACACTGACAGAACTCAGCTTCTAACTGCCACCGTGAGGTCACATGACCTAGAGGGCAGAGGTCTCTGAATAAAATTCAGTAAGTCATCAAACAAACTCTTCCTACCACCACAACTTTTAAGATGCACATACATATTATATATCAAAACATAGGCCTTTTAGTCATCTAAATTTTAAAATGGCCACAACGTGGCTGTCCCTGTCAAAGTTTCCCCAGGAACTTTCTAGTTACTGGTCTTAATGTTGCACTTCATAACCACTTTAATTCATTATAGTGCCAAGTCACAACAGAAGTTGTCTCAGGGCACTGAGCAAAAACATTCATATAATAAAAAAAAGCCCATTAGTAAACATTATCTACCTAAGGACTTTGGTTATGAACAAAACAAGTTATATTCAGGTTATGGATGTATTAAATAGACTGTTAAAGATAAAGCACATGCTCATTCAAAGAAGACACTGAGCATGGTATGCTTCACCTGCACTAAAGTATGGGCCAGACCCTTTCTAAAAAATAAGCAAGTTCTTTAAACCCATCAAGGAGAACAAAGAAAAGACACATTTATTCACGGTACAGAACAGATGTAGGTGTACTTTGAATTGTCACCTTCTACATTAATTTCATGTTTTCAAATATAAAAAGCTTGATCAGAGGAACGGAATAACAAAATGAGAAGAAATGTCATCCTAAAATGTCATGTGTTTTTCATTTATGGTTGATATTTCTATATCAACCACAAATCTGCAAAATGTATAGACAGGACACTCATGCACAATAAGCAGAACTATTTCTCTGTTTAGTCCAAGATTGCTTGGTGTGTGCAGTGAAATAAACTCAGATAAATGTGTTTGCCCGTTTTCCTCAAACTTAATAATACGATTATTTACAACTAGCAATGAAGTTAAAAAGCTTTTTTAACTTGTCCCAGAATCCTTCTCTGTCACACCACATCATTGACGTTCTTTGTGTCTTAATCCTTTCTTCTTCCCTAGCTTGGTAGCTCTAGATTTAACATCTTTTGTCTAATATACCCACTGTCCTCACTCTGCAAATGTCCACCCTGCTTAACCTGAGCCGTTTCCCTGATACACTCATTTTCAATCATTTCCAGTTTGGTCACTCCCGGTGAAAATATTAACATCTTTAGTTTTTCCACTTCCAGCTCTGCTTCTTGTTAGTTAGTGTCACCATCCCCACACTACACAGCTATCCGTCTGTTACGTCCACCAAGACACAACACATTAAGGAGGACACAGGACTCACAAATGAGGGTTCAAACATTCAAATTATTTAAAAAAACAGCTTCCTGCAAAAATAAATAATAATAAAAAAAGATTATTAGGAACCCCCAATCCCGTATCCACCAAAAAGACAACCCCCCCAAAGTAACAACTCAAAGACGGACCTGGTGAGCAGGTCAAATATAACAAAAAAGTACTGCAATGGGCCAACCCTATACAGGGCTGTCAAAGCCACTGCTGGTACCAGACTAAGACTACAAAAAAACAACAAAAAAAACTGAAAACCCTATTGTAAAAGAAAAGGCAAAAACGGAAAACAGGACAACCGGTCCCACCAGGCCAAAGTTACTAGGGATGCACGATATTATCGGCATGGTATCGGCCGATATTAACGGTAAATTTCGACATCGGACATTCCATTAAAATAACTTGCCAATATAAAAGGTGCTGTTTTTGCCTGCAGCGGCAGCACAACGTGATGATGTCACGTGCGCCTACCCAATCTCATGGCAGAGAGGAAAATTCTAAATGTCGGCGGTGTGGAAGTTTTATTTTTCGTTGGTTAGGATGTCGAATTCTGAAGATTTATGGACTACATTGAGCCTCGCTACATTGTCCCCAGTCAGAGATATTTTTCCTATGCAACGTTACCCGAGTTACAAGCCGTCATTTCCGACATCATTGAGAAGCTAACAGCCGATAGCACGACTTGTTGGGTGAGTTTTACCACAGACATTTGGATGTTGTGTTAGCCCCATTAGCATGATTAGTCTTACGGTACAATGGATAGACAAAATCTTTGAACTTAAAAAGGCTGTCCTTCATGCACAGGAGTGCAGAGGATCCCACGCTGCAGCTAGGAACCTGGAACAATCCTCCACAAGTGAGACGGCATCGCAGGTGACTAACGCAAATAAATAACATTTAACACTTTTCATTTAATATAAGTTAAAGTGCTATGCATATCATATGGCTGTTACTGAATATATGTCACCAGCTCTTACAGCTGTTGCACAATTTTTGTAGCAAATAAACCTAAATAAGAGGGCTATGTTCTGACAAAGGAACGTATATAAAATATCGGCATCGGTTATCGGCCGAATAAGTTTTAACATATCGGCATATTGGATATTGGTCAAAAATCTAAAATCATGCATCCCCAAAAGTTACTACAAAAAATATACAAAGAGTTAACAAAAATTACCTTCAAGCTGAGGCTGGCAGCTACAGCCTACAGCTCCTGGTGAGAAAAAAAAAAAAACAAGATGAGGAACAAAGCCTAAAAAAATCCAAGGGTGGCCAGAGAGCAGTCAAACAAAATAAGCCCCAAAGCAGAGAGAGCTTCTGAGAGGGAGAAGCTCCCGAAGGCCAGTCTATTTATAGGTGGGCAGAAAGGCCGGCTACAGACAAGAGGTGGAAAACCTGGAGAGCTGGTGCAGGAAGAACAACCTTCACATCAATGTGAAGAAGACGAAGGAGATGGTTGTGGACTTTAGATGGAACAAACACACCAACACCCACCCACCCCAAATATAGGAGGATCTGCGGTGGAAGTGGTCTCCTGCTTCAAGTACTTGGGTGAGCACCTGAATGACAGCCTCAGCTGGGGCATCAACACCACCAGCCTGATCAAGAAAGCTCATCAGAGGCTCTACTTCCTCAGGCGGCTGAGACGAGCTGGAATGGGAAGCTCAGTCCTCACCTCCTTCTACAGGTGTGCAGTGGAGAGCATCCTCTGCTCCAGCATCAATGTGTGGCATGGAGGCTGCACAGCTGCAGAAAGAAAAGCTTTGCAGAGAGTGGTGAAGGCTGCACAGAAATCTGTTGGAGTCAGTCTCCCCACCATCACAGATATCTACACGTCCAGATGCAGGAAGAGGGCCACCTGCATCATGAAGGACCCCACTCACCCAGCACACACACTTTTTACGCCACTTCCTCAGTGAGGAAGTTGGGGAGCATTAAGTGTAGAACCACTAGACTGAGGAACAGCTTCTACCCTGAGGCTGTTAGACTCATGAATCTCTAACCAGGATCATCACTGTGAAACAAATCACATCATGTTGCTGCTGATCTGTTTCATGTTGATGTGTTCATACTCATCTGCTCGCACAAACTCATGTTAGTGCTGCTGTTCGGCGTATTGTTTTTGTACTACTAGTGCTTAGTGTATTTCTAGTTAACGTTTTTCTTAATTCATATCTTAGACCTTTTTACTGTTTTTCTATTACATTTTATACTTTTGTTGAATATAACTGGGACCCTGTGTACACAATTTCGTTCCACCACATGTACCACATGTGGTGCGTATGACAAATAAAGAACCTTGAATCCTTGAAATGCCACAGCCTAAAACAATTAAAGGTTAAATAGCCAAACCAAAACATGACCAAAGGACAAAACAATAAGTTCAATGTGCCTCAGGAACATAACACCGTCTTTCACAAATCACCACAGACACTCATCTCCATCCACTCCACTCTTCTTTGCCTATCTGCTTGTTGCTTCTGATGGTTTACCTACCATATTAAAACTCAAATGATTGAGTGGATAAAATTGCCAAACTCGAATCAAGAAAAATCTATAACCGGTTTTGGAGGGGCTGTCTGGGAGGGCAGCTGCTGTGGTCAATATTACCATCAAGCTGCTGACAGGGCCTGCTAACCTGCTAATGCTGCTAGCAAGATCCTTCGTCTGCCTGATTGGACCGAACTCTGTGGACCCGCTTGGTTCCGCGGGGAAACCTTGGATTTTCTCAGTCTGCTGGACCCGGTTCTGGAGGACAGTCTGGGATGCTGCTGCTGCAGTCCTTACTATCATCATGTTGCTCATAGGATCTGCTAACAAGACCTGCTAACGCTGCTAACAACACCACGCCGCTAACCGAACCATGCCGCTAACAGTACCA